CAACAAATAAGACAGATGTTCTGACAAACAAACAAATAGATGACCAGTCAGACCTGGTTGACAGAGAGCTTATAGTATAGACAATATATTCCCCATCATGCAAATCAAATGAAAGCGCTGGGGCTGTAGGGGTGAAACTTCAAATCTGCCACCTGCAGGGTGTCACATAAGAGGAGGCTTGTCACATGAAGTAGACACTATCAAAACCACAAGTGACCCTTAAACAATGACGAACATAAACTGTGTGTTACAGCTGTGTTGTTTCATTCTTCTAGCGTCATTCAGATGAGTTCAAGGGTGCACAGTTCACATGCATTGGCAATACTTTCAAATAACAGCTAAGCATTTGATTTTCATAAAAATATTTTTGAAAAAAAAAAACCTAAAGATTACAGTTCTTATCGCTAATGTGAAGGTAGACTCTTCAGACCATCTGGATAAAAATTATTCAATTTGACAAAAAAAAGCTCTTTTTCCTAATCAAAATAATATAGCATTGGGGGCGGAGAGACCCTTGGTGGGGTCCCCCATAATGCCCCTCTGGTTGGGCTGTAGTTATAGTTATGAGTTGGCACGATTGTTAGTGTGGTGGTGGGTGTGTTGTATTGCTGTGTGGTTGCAGCTGTTGTGAATAAAGCGAGAAAAAGACAAGCTCTGATCTTTGACCCTTCTGTACCCAGCCAACGCTACAATAATGTTGGTAACTGGAAATAACATATGTCCATCCTTGCCCAGTTTGTCCAACATGAATCAGAATTTTAAATGTTATTATTAAATTGGTATATATATTGGTGTTTCTTCCCAATATGAAACACCAGGACACATGTCATGTCAGGGTAACCTGAACTAGAAAAAAGAGTCTCAAACTGATAAGCGGGTGGAAAATCTTTTTATCATGCATGGTGGTTAAAACAGTCTTTAAAGACTGCAGAGCAGTGGCAAGTGCTGACCTTTGGGACTTTTAGAGGTTCTGGGTATATATTTCTGAGAAAATTGGATTCTGTGATCTGTGACTTAAATGTAACAGTAATACATGAGAGGCACAAAGGTGTCTGCTTCCAACAACACGAGCCAATGTGTCTGCTCTGCCAATATATAGCTTCAACCACATCCTTAGTGCCAGGATACAGCATGTGAGCTGGCCTGTCATCAGCCTGAAAAGTACAGTATATTTTACTACTTTTTCACTGACGAAAAGTACAAAAGTTCTTTAACCAAGCTTTCACAAGCTTTTAAATGTAAGTGTATGTATTTAGACAACTGGACAACAATGTGCCAGTGTCTCAGAGGTAGCCATTTGTTTGACTTATGATAACCATTTGGTATGTGTAGAGTACTTTCATTGCTGAAGATGAATTAACTATGAGGGCATATTGGTAGTACATAATGTCTTAGAACATGACTGTGCCGATTATTTTCATGAGTTTTATGAACTGCAGCATTGTTTGGGTTTATAATTGAATTTTGATTCACCCTTATTTACATTATTTTATCTCTGGTCATTTGATAACACATGCTCTTACATGATAGATCAGGTACATATCTTCTATAACCAGGCTGTTAAAACAAAAACACTGAGACGACAAGATAGCAGCAGCAAAATGTTGGAAACTTAGAGCTTGTTAATAATGTTTAATTCTGAATGCTTGTCAGATATGGCCATCAGGTCATGATGACTGTGCACTTAGTCCAAGCTGTTAAGATTAGAGAAGAAAAAAAGCTGTTGTGGTGCTTGGCAAATCAAAAGGGTAGGGTGATTGCAATGAATAAACTATAATGTCTGAAACAGAGCAAAAATGTTTATGGGACTCACTTCTGAAAAAGTTGGTGATAGCATATTATGCCCCACTCATATCAGTAGGAAAACTCATAAAAAGCTGCAGCTCATTTTAATTAAAACGAAAGTCTCCTATCTACAGTTTCAACCCAGCCACCGTTTCATTGTTTCTCACAGTCTCATTAGTTCTCCATGGAAGAGTATTTTAAGGCAAAACTGAATGTGGGGCCATGATCTTAAGAGAACCATTTTAATTAGCCATATGATATACACACTCTCACTCTCTGGCCATCTCTCACCATCCCACTCTCTCAGTCTCTCAGCTCTCACCATCACTTTATGAGACACCTTGGGGTGGAAACCAGAGAGAAATCAAGATATAAAAGAATTATGAGGCTGCATAAGAGCTATGAGCCCTTAAACCTGTCCCACAGTGAATATACATGATGAATAGTGAATGCCTTCTCCAAACAAAAACAAAGAGAGGACTAAATATGATTAAGAATATTTGGCAGATTCTTTGCAGAGCATGCCTATAATTCACCATTATACCTTACAAGTACTCTGTAATAACAGAAATAATAAAGAAATCTATCGATCGTTAGCAGGATGTCAGGCAAAGATGCAAGTACAGAAAGACTGTAAACAGGTGTGGCAAGTACAAGATGCAGCTGCATCTCTGCATGTGTGTACTGAGGTCTACAACTGTTGCACAGTGTAATTAAGGCAATATCAGATCTTGCTGGAAGGGTAATCCCTCCCACACTCCCACACAGAAAACACAGACCTACAGGCTACTCTGTGTGATTACACAGCAATAATCTGGCCTGGTTTTTGGAAAAGGCTAATATTTTATCAGCCTACATCACCTTACAGTGAGGGTTACAATGGGGTTTTCACGTGTAAATGCTAAAATAATGACTCGTTCCATGTGAGTCTACCATCACATAGAAAATATGTCTGAGCTCAGTGTCTGGATTTCTTATGAAGAGATGTAACACCACTCTCCCACAAGAAATCATACCCTTTTCTGTGCAATTGATGGAGATGAAAAACAATAGTCGGGTAGCTTTATATTGATTTGAACTGAGATATGCTAAATGAGAGAGCTATAGCATATGGTCCTGTGCTCATAATGAGGATATGTGATGGTAGCAGTGTCATCCTGCACAACGCTGTCATCAGGATACTGACAGACGTCGTCTTTCCAGGAGGAAGGTGATTTCTCAGAATGACTCTGTATTTACTGGTATTCATGTCGAAGCATTTTCAGCAAAGCAACCTGTAATGGAACCGACTAAGCCCTTCAACGTGAGAGCCAGTGCACTTTGCATCATTTACATTTCTAATTTATTCATCACCTGAAGCTATGGGGCCATTAATATTTCTGAGATCCATTCCTAACTGTTTACTTGGCACTGCCTCACAAAGAGGAAAAAATGTCGCTCTCTCATTCATACTTAGCTACTGATGCCTCAGGACAGACACGGTGAAAACGGGCGTAGAAATTCCTGTTCACCCGTCTGAAAGCGATATTTACGTATCAGATTCTACATCGAAAGCGTTGTATAATAAATTTGACTTCAACCCAAACTGACTTTGACTAATAGGGCGGCGTTGCCAAAGAGCAAAAAATGAGTGTCAAAGCGGGTGGTGAATTGTGTATAGGATATTGAAATAAATAATTAAGCACCCATTCAAGTCTATCTCCACGCAGTCGGTTGATGCTACATCTATGCTGCACATCGTACAGAGACAAGCTACACGCCACGCTGCTGTGTAGCTTCCCTGATTTCTCTCCACAGTTTGGCGGACAAGCGTCCTGACTATCGCGGCTACCTGTTAATCCCCGGCCCGGGTCCAGCCCCACTTCCTCCAGCTGGCGCTCCATTGCTGGGCTTGATGAGCTGTCCAGAGTCCGGTGGTGCTGAAATGGAAGCCGGAGCCCCTGCTGCAGGGATGGCCGGACCGGCCTGTCCCGCCTGTCCCTCCCCTTCCACACTGGCCTCATTCCCCATGGCCTCGGGATAGGTGACTACGGAGGGAAACGATGTTGTAGATGGTTCTACAGCTGTGGTAAAAACTCAGAGGAAACTCAGCGCTGCCTTCCTTCCGCCATCATCACCTACAATTCAGCATCCCACACGGAGCACGCGCACTGGCGGAGAGGGCGAGGGAGCGCGCTGACGCAATGGGTGGGTACTTGAGTGGCTCGTACGTGAGCGTTCACGATGCTCTGTTATCTCGAACACACAATGAATGGTCACCAAGTAAATACCTCTGATTACAGCACCTAACTGGAGACCACAGGGACCTCCCTGAAAGTCTTTCCTCTTTATAGACCATTTGATCTGTAGTCTAAACGATGGGTCGTTGTCACTGGTAGAGACACCAAGCATTATGGGCTGTATGTTAGAAAGTAAATCATTCTCAAGCACGTAATGGTTTTATATAACGCAACCAAAGCATTTCTGTCAAGCAACTTATCAACAGTAGAAATGGAATAATGCAATATCTATGAGATGTTTTACAAATACAACACTACTGGGCTATATATGTTTAAGCCAGGCAATCAAATGACAGTAGTGATACACACAAAAGCATGGATTTTTTTTAAAAAAAGCTCCCACTACTACATAGGCCAGTGTGCACTTTGCTACTCAGTCAGAGAGCCAGTGTCATCATTATAAGATTGTCGTACAAGTATTCAAATATATCCTAAGGTAAATACTGACAAAAATAAAATAAAATGCAAACTGCACACATACCTGAAAAGATGGAGTCAAATTAATACTGATCACAAGCTCAGAATGTCTAGTGGTACAGTAAAGTAGCCTGTGTTAAAAATTGTTTAACTTGACTAATGTAAGTATAATTATTAAACTAATGTGGGTTATTTTGTTCAGCAAAAAATAAGTATTTCTACACAAGCAAAAAATAAGAAAAAGAGGGGAAAAACAAACTGTTCTAGCAAATGCAGGATATATCACAATACTGACTCACATAGGCTATGCCTCTGAGTACACGTCACGATTCCACAAGAAAGTCCTAAGCATTGCCCTCTCCAATGTGCATTAACTCTCACTACAATAAAATGCTGACTTTTATCTGATAAACCTATACAGTAAATCAGTCTACGAAAATTTGTAACCATGCATCAAAACACTGTATGCCACATTAAAAACTGTAAACACATAGAAACCCAGATAAGACATTTTCACTGATTTTATTGTAGTATAAACTGGAAAACGAATAAACACTTAACTCGGTGTACAGTACATGATAAGCCAATTAACAGATACATATGTACAAAACAAACATCTCACATAATATTAACTCGCTCTGAGACCTACTTTAGGTACAAAAATAACACAAAAGCTTGATTTTCATTTGCAGGACCTAAAAATGCCTTCCAATTAAGAGGAAAAACACTGATGTATCATGAAACTGTCCATCACAAATGTGACTAAAAATACTTTACTGAATTTCCTACACTGAATATATTGAAACTGAAATGCTGTGGATAAATAAAATCATCTTTGTTTCTGAAAACATTCAATACTTGGCACTGAAAAGGTGACAGAGGAATATAAGTGAAGAGGTTTTACCAAAGTGTACATTTATGTTTTATACAGAACAGTTTTAGAGAAACGTTATCTTCCAACAAATAACTCAAACTGTACTTGACCACAAGACTGTGAAGAAGATCTTTCAATAAAAAGCATTTAGGTACATGAGTGTGGTCTTGCTTTTTTCACATTTACAAACTGTAGACAGCAATGGCACAAAAAAAATTTACACTTAAGTGGAGATACATACATATATATATATAAATGATAAAATCACTGAACAAACACATGGTTGATTTAATAAAGAACAGAAGGCGCTGACTAAAATGCAAACTGCCTTTATGAGAGTGTTTTTTGAATGCAGTGATTTCTTTTTCCTCCGTTATTTACAGTAATTACTGGCGTTTAGCTTTGTAAGGTCGGGAGCGTTTCCTGCGATCAGGCTTCCTCTGTTTGTGCAAGCGGCCGATACTTACTCCCTGCCGACGACGCACGGAAATGTTCTGTTCCACAAGGCTGGCCAGCATTCCTAAAGTGGATCCCACAACAACACAAGTGATTTTTAGCACGAAACTAGGTTTTTGTTGAGCATCTTTTCTTACCCCTTCTCGTTAGGAAGCTTATGTCCTTTAACTTTCATACCCGCCCTGTATACATTTCTGATTGGATGGATCTATTGAAACTGTTAATATCAAAAACCTTAATAAAAATGGGGAAAAAGCTAATTGCTCCACTAACTGTCTGTGTGTAACATATTCCTACAGACAGCAGTGAGGCTTACTTAGTGCATCACAAAAAAGTATATAATATTTTTTTTTCTCTTTTTTCCTCCCTCTTTGTCAACTGTTAAATGACAGAGTACAAAGATTTTCTATAAATGTAGTGCTATGTGAGAGGAGAGATTAATGAATGAGCCCACAGAGAACCCAGGAATTTAAATAAAAAAAAGGTTAAAATGTGGGTCTGAAGGAAGGAAAAGGGGATGGCAAGAGAACTTTTCATAAAAAGTAGTAAAATCCAATTACCTTCTTGGGCCAGCATTGATATAAAGGTGCAGATGAATTCATCATAATTATGGGTCCTCCTCTGATCATCAATCTGAACAATTAACAAAAGATTCTGATTAAAAGCAAGTAAAATTAGTATCACACCAAGGATATTAGACTGGTTTCAGGTAAACAAAACCTACTTTGTACTTCTTTCTCTTTTCCACTTCCTCCTTTAAATGCACCTCGTAATTGGCAATGTCAGCCTCCACACACTTAAGCAATGCAAGCAGCTCCTGCAAGAGACAGAGTAAAATCATCCGCTCTGTGTGTTTGTTTGTTATATAGTTCTAGTGTGAAGCAGAAACAACTCTCTAATTGGCAGCACAAGCAAAAGATGTGCAGGTACTGTGAAACAAAAAGAAGTCATGGCAGGCTGATAAGCATACCAAATAATATTACTGCAGTATATAATAACAGAGAATTTTCTAGACTTACTTTCGGTGAATACTTATCTCCAGAAGGCTTGCTGTCTGCAGCGGTTTCCATGGCGTTGAGCTTTTCCTTGCTGGGTTTCACATCTGCTCCTTCTTTACTGTCCTCCTTCTTCGCCTCCACAGATGGTCCTTCGTCTCCCTGGTTCACTCCTTCCTTCTCTCCTGCTATGAGGCCCGCTTGCTCGTTCTCTTTAATCTTCTCAGGGGTACAAGGCTGCTTCGTACCATCAGCAGCCGAATCTACTGCACAGGCAAGAAATAAAGTAATGAGCTATCAAAATTAGTTAGACACAGAAAGTTATACTCCTTACAGTCAACTCAAACTGCATACAGTACCTCTATGGTCTCAAACTATTAATATGCTCTGACTGTACTCTAAATATCAAGTGATATGCTCAAACAATTACTTCAGCAGTGGCCTTTAAACGACAGTACAGATCTCATGTACTCACTAGATGGAGGCAGAGCGTAGAGGACTCCATCCTCCTGCAGGTGTAACAAGGCTGCGCTGACAGAGGGACCCAGTTCTCTCACAGCACGGTTATGTCTAGAGTCCAGCCTCAGCATCTCGTCTTCTCCAAACAGTACACGAGACAGATGTGATGCAACCGGACTAGATGGGCGCGTGGCAGCCTGGGAGCGTGCAGGTGAGCGCAGCGGAGAGTTGAAGGCGCTGCCAATCTCGGAGGCCGTGTCAGTACTCTCATTGCTGGGTGTGGGGGAAGGTTGTGAAGCAGATGTGATACAAATGCCACCGGTGCGGCCTTCTGTGCGTACAGAAAGAGGTGTGTTCAGGGCATCTTTCCTCTGGGCCTCCTTCTTCAGTTTCTCAGCCAAGACACTGAGGGCGAGCTGGCTCTCCATTCCAGTTCCAACCCGCCCTGGTCGTGAACGCAGGCTCGCCTTCCGTCTAAACCTAAATAAATAAATAAATTAGATAAAGTTTAATAGCGCACATTTTATAAACACAAATTCAAAGAACTTTAGCTTCTCTCAATCAGATCACAACCATAAATATAAAACCAACTAAATCGTCTCTTCTTCTCCAACACTCATAATGACACTGCTCACCTGTTGGATGTGCCTGCAGAACCAGTAACTTCCTCCTCTTCATCCTCATAGTCGTCTTCCTCATCGGAGTATGAATGTTGAGGCGGCCCTGTGATCCGGGAGCGACCAGCAGCAAGATCTTCCTCCTCCTGTCAATCAGAGAATCTTTCATAAAATTTCACAGAATTTTTTTCTGTAGTGACAAAAACTATTTATAGGCCATCTAAGACAAATGTGAACTGCTTATATGATGGTAACTGTGAAAAATATAAGCTACAGCCTCTTGAAGCAGGTTTAGAGTATGTTTTTTTTTTTTAAGAGTAGCAGTTTTTCAAAGAAGCGTTCTAAGTCTCTGGTTCCCTGAAGAGAGTGTTTGAGATACAGAAAGCAAGACAGAGTGACCAAGATCCATAAAACCAAAGACAGAAATAAATCATAAAACAAATCCATAAAACAAAAGACAGAGAAGAAAAGAGCAATTGTGCATTAAGCAGCTACAAATTAAAATCTGAGAGATTCAGAGAAATGTGAGATCTGCCCTAGTTTGATAAACGGTAGAGTTGTAGTGTTTCCATATTAAACCCCTGACTCTGTTTCAGAAAATTAACAGAAAAACTGAAATAAATAATAGATAAATAAAATTTGCCATTTGTGCTAATTTTTTTTATCCTGTTAACTATATTTTTTCTGTAGTATGATGTCTTTTGCTAAATATATAGAGGACAATGACAAAAACACATTTCAAAAACTTAAAGAGAAAACCTACACACAACTAAGGACTTCATAATCACCTAATTATTAAAATTAATTTTCCCAAATTTTTTAAATGGCCTTACATTATAGTAAATGGAATATATTTTGATGCCACTGCTTAATATAACCTGCAAATTTATCTACCATGAAAATAATCTATGACCTCAGCCCTAATCAATTCAAGCATAGCATCTAATAAATTAACTTTACAGACAAAATAAGAGGTGAACTTGTTCCCTAATAAAAATGCTCAATATGCACACTGGGTAGAACTGAAAGCCCTTTGTGAGCCAGGGTCTACATCCTTCGCCTCCCTTTTTACCTGCATTGGAGACTTAGCATAGTTGTGATTATCCAAGAAGGCAGGAAGCCGTTGAACTATGGGGTTGGGACTGGTGACCTGCTGGGGACCTCCACCAGTGGGGACTGGCGGTTTGCCCATGATCTTAGCATTTCCTGAAGGACTAGGGGCATCCTTGGATTGACCTCCTGACTCATCAACTGAATCTAAAACAAGACCCAGTGTGTTTATTTGTACCCATTTAATGTTTTAATAATTCACTATGCAATCTACAGAATAAAATTCAAGGAAAGATGATGAAAATAAACCAAACAAAAGCACCTGAAGACACTTGATCAGCCCTCTGGGATGTAACAGGCTCTGTATCAGCCTCTTTCTTGATCGCTGTGGTGCCATCATCAGGAGAGGAAGAGTCCTGCTGCTTCTTGTCATGGACAAGCTCTGGCTGGGTGAGCCGGATCATCTGAATATGAAAATATTTTAACTGATCCAAGCACACAAAAAAAAAAAAATATTCAACACTCAATAGACATGACTAAAAACATTCTACTTAGCTAAACTTTGGTTCCATCTAAGATACAACTTTCAGCATGGACATAATATATAAATATTTAACATGCTCTTAGAATTACTAAGAGAATTACTAGAATTACTTGTGAATATAAGAAGACACCACAAGAAGTGACAACTATGACATGTTCATCTGTCTTGCTCACATATTTTACCATCTAACCATATTATGCTTCCATGTCTCAATGACCACTTTGAATGTTTACACAGCAGCAGCCACACACAACATGACCAACTACAGTATTGTGATCTGCCTGTGATGAAACATCTGGCAGTTCCAGACCTTCTGTAGACCCTCCAGAACAGTCTGCCTATTCCTCTTTAGAATTTCCAGTTTGGACTCGTACTTCATTCTGCGGTCAGGCACCACCGCCATTAGGTTAAAGCGAATGTCATGGTATGGCTCACTGAAAATAAGCAGAGCAGCAGTAGCATGAGAGTGAAGCTTTGAAGCTGTGTGTAGAAGCAGAACCACTACTACCTGAACTAAATGGTTCAGGACTCACCCAGCAGTGGCCAATCCAATCCTCTCCATGATAACTCGCCGAGCCTTATCAGTCCATTCCTCCTCCTCTCCCCAAGGCCCTAAAATACAGTGTAATATTATACTTTAAGCTGCAATTTTGTACAGCACAAGTGAACTTGCAGCAAAGAAATGTCATAATTACCCTTTATTGCAAATGAAAATCTTCAGATGCAAAAGAATAATAATTCTCTTTGATTGGTCTTTAAAGAAAGGTAATACGCTGTTTAAGGACACTGAGAGGTTTCGCATTTATTTTGTGCCTGCAGTCCAGAACAACCAATAAAGCCATATCTGAATATTTTCTAAACTGACATATACATTATGTATACCCTTTAAAATTTCAGTTTTAAGTTGCTTCATTGCACCAAAATGTTGCTATAATCAGTGTAACAAAAACAGGGCCCTGTATTCCTATGTCAGCATGAGGCTCACCATGATCAATGGGGTAAGCCTTGAGTCCATCAAGCTCAAAGAGGCGATCTTTGATGGGCACATAGCTAACAAAGTGGAAGGCTTCCATGGTTCGCACTGCACTTATCCCATTTTGCTTCTCCGGCAGGTGCCTGGGCTCCGGTCTCCATAGAAACAGAAAGAGAGTTTGAGAAACTGATGAAAGCACAAAGCGATACATCTCCCACAATATGAGAGACCGGTCATAGACACCTTAAAATTTTAAAACGAACCACTGGCTGTAACCTACCTGGCATGGCTGTTATGTGCTCTGGCAAGTTCTGGGGCATTTCCTATTGCGTAACCTTTAATCTGAAAAATACAGAAAATTTTAAAATTAAACATGACAGCGAAGGAGGAGGAGGATGAGAGGGAGCTAGAGAAAAAGTGAAAGATAGCATTCAAGGAAGCACTTGAGACCAGGAAGGTGGCTACTGACACAAATGGAGAACTGTTCTGATTTGAAGTCATGCTTAAGGTCCTATGACCCGAGTTCACTTTGCAAGTTTTGTGGGGGGAACATTTTTGTATTTTACCACTGTCAGTACTAATGCATCCGTTTGTGAAAACTTGATTCTAATTACCACCTATAACCACCCTTTCTTTAAGAAGGCTTATATGATTTTCTAAACTATGATTTCTCAATATGTTGCAGAAAAAACAAAATTAAGAAATTCCACTAAAAACAAATGTGTGTGAGCATAAGAAGCATCTTACCTCTGGACTAAAGCCTTTTGTGAAAGCCTTCATGCGACTAAGAGTGGTGCCGAGCTCAACACCACTGCAGTTCAGAAGCACACTCAACAATGCGTGGGTGGCACATGAGTTTGGTATCAGCTAGATACAAAAATGACAACATAAAAACAAAATAGTCCAAGTTAGAATAAACCTTTCAGTAACTATGTTTCTTTCTGCATTATCACTGGTGAGAGCCTAGTAAGTACCATAATTTGCTGGTAAGCTCCCATTTCATACAACCTATAAAATTAATCCTTGTGGGTAATAGTGAAAAAGCTAACTATTACACAACTGACTGAAGCTTGATCAATTATGAATGCCATTTGTCAACATTTTTGTCATTTGAACGAATAAATGCGACTAGGAAACTAAAAAAAAGATATAACATGCTGTTTGATAGGCATTTAATCTAGATTTGCATTTTTACTATGAATGAATTTTTCTGAGGTGTGCCCTTTTTACATAAACAGCACTAAAATGTATGGCATCACAACTCTTTAGAAAACTGCTATAGGATTTATGACTCCAAATATAGACCTGTTGTTCTACCTGTTAATCAATAACTGAACAACAGAAATATCATCAGTAACTCTAACCAATATCTATCAACCCTTACCTGATGAGCAAAGAACATATCATTTACAATTTCCTCATCAATGACAGAGGTCTCATCCACCAAAGTGTTAACTTTCCTCCTGGACCGACGTTCCTCAATCCACTTGAATAGGAAGATGAAGCCATATACAGGACTGAAAAATAAAATTTGACAAATATTTTTCACATATAGTTGCTACAAGTCCAACAAGTTTCAAAGTTGTTTTACAGACCTGAGCTTGAACGTTAACCATGATATTCTTGATTTACATGAAATAATTGCTCGGCAAAGAGACTGAGACGAGTGGCTCTGAGTTACACACCTTTGACACTTGCTTTGGAGATCATAGATTTCCTCTACCTGGACACCTTTGACACCTACAGAATATATAGACACACAATCAATCAACAAATAGATAAAATAAAAAATATATTTTAACTGGTTTTATTAGCCCCAGGGCTCCAAATCAGGGTCACTGTTGGTTCACATTGCTGTACAGTAAAAAGGTTAGCAACTGTATGTAAGCTACTCACCAAAATCTTCTACCAGTAGAGTAAAAAGTCCTGAAAGCATAGAGAATTGTATTAAGTTTTCAAAAAACTAACATAAAATATACTAACAAACTAATGTCACGTGTATTACTTTTGCAGCCAACGTTACTCCCTCTCACATTCCGCATTTAGTTATAAGGATAATCACCTTTATTTGGCCAAGTATGTTACACACACGGAATTTGGTTCCGGTACACAACCGAGGCAGCCATCTGCGGAGCAAAATCACACCGATGGCTCTAACCATCGGGGTCAACTTGGGGGTTCAGTGTGTTCGAACTTCCGACCCTCGAAGTGTGAGACGATTGCTCTACCCACTGAACCACAGTCGCCCCTAGTTACTCACTCCATCAACTTGCACAGCAACTTACATTATTTAATCTTGTGTTGCATTAAAGGTGCGGACTTCAACAAGTGAACTGCTTAAGAAGCTGTCCACCTGGCCTTATGTGGAAGCTAACGTTAGCAGTGCTGTCAATCGAAATTTCTCACCTGGATCACTCTCGAGCTCCAGCCACCCTTTGTTCATTTTTGCACTTGTGCACAGCTGACTAATATTTAGGATGTTTTCCAGTCCATGTCCAAAAGACGTGTAAGAATCTTACTCGATAAAACTGTATCCATTCAAGAAACAACTGCGTGGAGCTTAAAATATTTTATACAGTCGACGAGATCAACACAATAGACAGATTTGGCCGCTTACAAACGACGTCATCAAGAAACGACGGGTGGTCACCAAAAAAACAGTCCTACCTGCAACATCCTGTAGTCAGAGCATAGAGCAAATCAACAAATGAATGAATGAGTCAGTCCATCAATCAACACATAGTTTTGTTTATTATGTGTGCTTTTTATTTAATAGTGACAACATATGTGTTAAACAATACCCACAACTGAATAAATAATATTGAGTGTGAAACAGTCTTATAAAATATATTAAAATTGAAGAGTTAAGCAAATGGAATACTTCTCATACTTCGTCAAGAGTTGGGCTGTTTTATTTTATTTTATAATTTGACTTGTCAAATGTTTCTTTGTTGACGGACTTTTGCACTCCTGGAACCTTACTTGGAGTAACCTTTACGGGGACGGCATTTGTGGTCACACTGGAAAAACTGGAAATTAGCCGTGTTTATCGGTTCATTTACACAGTTACTGTACGTATAATATACTGGCCATTGTGAACACCAACAGCCAAGTTCACCGAAAAGTATAGCGTAGCCGTATGCAAGGTAAGCTCCAACATTGACCTGAACTGACGAGTCTTAGCTAGCTCTGTGTTAGCCTCGTTGTAATGTAGGCTAGCATTAGCTATTGAACGTTACACAGTAGCCTATTAGATTGTTCTCTTGCTACTACAATCAACAAAACAGGTGGCTCTCCAAGGAAAGCTGTTTTTCTTCCAGCTCAAGTTGCAACCAGCCATCCTGTTTTGCTACTACTGATGGACAATAGGGGTTACGTGGTTCTGGCGTTTGAATTTGCGTTTATTGTGTAATTAGCATACTGATGCTGACTCAGCCAGGTCTACAGTCTACATTTGTAGTTTGGTAGCACAGTAAGCCAGCCAGTGATGGTTGCTTGATGTTTACTTTAACGAGCAACAAGAACAACATCAAAACGTATCGGCTTCGGAGGTGGCTGTATGCTACTTGCTAACTGCCTACATCCCCGGCCATTGAGAGAAATCTCTCCTATTGGTCACGTCACATGCAACGTAAACCCGTTAGATTCAGCACTGATCAATAATTGCATCCTTCTAAATTGACCCAAATTTATGACATTCAATGTGTGATATATACTGATATAAATACACTATATGATGATTGTGTGAGCCTATTAAAACAGCCTACTTTGGACAGATGACAATAGGATTCGGCAAACAAAAAAATTAATATAATATAGTACAGTAAGTTGTTTCATGCTTTGTTATCAGGTAATCCTCGCGCTCACCACATTGTTTAGATGTGTGGTTGGATTTTTTTTCATGTGGTTGTAATACTTACGTTGTTACCAGTTTGTATAATAAAAATTCCATACCACCATAATCAAATAATCTTTAGTATGTTTTTAAGTATAACAAACCAAGAGTCACACTAGTCATCAGCTCCAGACCTCAGAGTACAAGTAAAATCTAATCAAATTTGCAGTGTTTAAGATTGTTTCCTCCCTTGTCATTGGCATGTGTCTGCATGTTTATGTGTTGTTTGTTTATATCCTTTTGTCAATTTGTGCTGCTCCAGTGTAAGATTGTGCTCTCCAAATAAAGCTGAACTTGCACTAAATGAAACTTTTGTAGTCTAGTGGCTAAAGAATTAGTCTATTAATCAAGTAGTGGAGGGACTTCAGAAATTAAACATTTGTGATTTTGATGATCGAACAGCTGTTTTATTTGTTTAAGAAAATCATATTGCTGTTTTCAGTTTCTCACTATCAGCTGACAGTCGGTATAAATTTTAATGTAAATATGTTATGTGTTTCATTACTTTAGGGCTCCTGATGAAGGTGTGCAGGTAATACTTTGAGAGCCCTGTAAGACGCCATGTCTGAAGAGGCAATTTCAGAAAGTGACCTGGAGCCTAGCCTTAACAGTGAAGAGGAGTATTTGGAAAATGAGGAGGAGGATGACGACAATGAGGACACGGAGGAAGATGAGGATGAAAATGATGGAGATGATGAAGAGGATAGCATTGGTGACTGTCTTTCTTATACCCCTTATGACTGTAATGCATTTCACTGCCTTCTTTGACATAGATAAACAGACAAAAGAGCATCTAGTTAATTGATAAATTAGTTGAAATTAAAGTAATGTATCAGAAAGTGGTGCTTGTTAACTATTTTTTGAAGACTTCAACTGAAATGCTGTCTCCTCACTCTCAAGATCGACCTGTCAGTGCCCAGAGCAGGACAGAAAGTGCTCAGGATGGAAGGGACACCGCCTCATCTACCTCTGGAGAGCCTTCCCCTGAACCTTCGTCTCGTCCTGGATCCTGCACACCCTCCAGATCTGCCTCTCGTTCTCAGCCTCCAACCAGTCCAGAGAACTCAAGCCACAGCAAACCACCTTCTAGCAAGAGCAAAAAACAAAAAGTCTCTAAATTAACCAAACTGCCCAAGTGTTCAAAAGGCTCCAAACCTTCCAAGCCTGCACACATGAGGAAAAATATCAGGTAATCTGTTTGATGTTTTCCAACAGGTAAATTACATAGCATACTTTAATGTTTATCTGTAACCTGTCTTTTTTCCTATGCTTATAGGAAGCTGCTGAAAGAGGATCAGCTGGAGGCTGGGACCAAGGCTGCTCAACAAGAAGAGATGGAGAGGCGGAAACGTCTGGAGCAGCAGAGGAAGGACTTTCCTACACCAGCCCCAGCCATGCCCAGCTCTCAACTAGGTGACTGTTACACTATCAGTGAAGCTATACCTTTGAATGGTTCTGCTTCCAGTCATATTTCTGTTTGACATATTTTGTAGAACTTTTCCTTCAATTCTACATTTCTCATGCCCTTTCCATCTTTCCAACAGTGGACACTGCTTCACTTTTAGGTGAAGTATCTCACTTGGTGCCCGGTCTCCTGTGCAAGGAGGACGTGATCTGTCTGGACAGCAGTGGCGATGAAGATGAAAAGGTGGAACCCAAGTTGCCTGCACTTGCCATTAGAGATGGTAAGATATATGATAGCTCTGTGCTACTATAATGCTCTTATTTCCAAGTGATTCTAAATAATATGAGAATTGAGCGAGGTCTCACACAATGTTTATTTCACAATAACCCAGATATAATTGAGCTCAGTTCTGGGGATGAGGACACCCAGCGGATAAGCAGCGAGTCAGCTGATGAGGACACTGGTGGCACCACCAGCTCAGAGGAGAGCAGCGGGGCACATATCAACGATGCTCTGAACCTGCCAGATGCACAGGGTCGTGTCCTGGTTAATATCAATCACCCGGCAGAGGAAAAAGACATTTATCTCGCTCCACAGCTGGCCAAGGCTGTCAAACCTCACCAGGTATGCCAACCACCTCATTCTCTTTCAAATCTACTGTCCATCTTGTTTTCTTACAGACATTCTTCCCTTCATCTCAAAGATTGGGGGGATCCGGTTTCTCTATGATAACCTCATCGAGTCTCTGGAGCGGTATAAGACCAGCAGTGGCTTTGGCTGCATCCTTGCTCACAGCATGGGATTGGGCAAGACACTGCAGGTCATCTCTTTCATTGATATCCTACTGAAGAATACTGAGGCCCACACAGTGCTGGCCATTGTTCCTGTGAGTATTTTAAGTGTATACTCTTTAAAAAAGGTACTCATTAGATTGCACTTTCATGTTCCTGAAATCACCATTTTATTTTGTTTAAATTTACTTCCCAAATGTTTGTTTCCTTTGTACAAGGTGAACACACTTCAGAACTGGCTGACAGAGTTTAACCTCTGGCTTCCACCTCAAGAAGCCTTTTCCTCTGACACTGACCCCGAACTCATCACTGGCCGCACATTCAAAGTTCACATTCTCAACGATGAGCACAAGTATGTAACATGCAAAGTTGTGTCCAAGGTTAATTATTTTCTTTTAAACATCTGATTTGTTAATCATGCTGACTGTGTGACCTGCAGAACAACACTGGCCCGGGCCAAGGTTGTGGAAGAATGGTCCAGAGATGGAGGCGTGTTGCTCATGGGTTATGAGATGTACCGCCTATTGTCCATGAAGAAGAGCTTTGTTATGGGCAAGAAGAGGAAATCAAAGAAGCCTGCAGGACCAGTCATCATTGACCTGGATGAAGAAGATAGACAACAGGAGCTCATGAAAGGTCCACAAGACTTCTAATGGTCAAAGCAATCTTGTGAAGTTTGTCTGTGTGCCATAAAAATGTAAATGAGGATAAGAGATACAAATTACAAACATAAATGTGTTGTGTAATTTATATTTACTAACTCATTCACTCTGTCTTCCTTTATTACTTTGTGTTTTTCAGGTATTGAAAAGGCCATTGCACGGCCTGGTCCGGATGTGGTGATCTGTGACGAGGGCCATCGCATTAAGAACTACCACGCCAACACATCACAGGCCCTGAAGAACATCCGCTCCCGGCGCAGAGTAGTTCTCACAGGTTACCCATTGCAGAACAACCTCATTGAGTACTGGTGCATGGTAGACTTTGTTAGGCCTGACTTTTTAGGTACACGCCAGGAGTTCAGTAACATGTTTGAGCGGCCAATTTTAAATGGGCAGTGTATGGACAGCACACCTCAAGACGTCCGCCTCATGCGCTACCGCAGCCATGTGCTGCACAGCCTGCTAGAGGGTTTTGTCCAGAGGTAAGCTGTCAGGAATTAGAACATCACATCAAAAAGACATAGCTGAGTGGAAAATACTTTACTATTCATGTTCTTTGTGGTGCTTTTCTGGTTTAAAGACGGGGTCATGATGTCCTGCGGGACCAGCTTCCCTCCAAGGAGGAGCATGTCATCTTAGTGCGGCTCTCTCCCATTCAGAGGGCGCTATATAAAGAGTTTATGAAACGCTTCAGAGAAGCAGGAAACAGTGGCTGGCTCGGTCTTAACCCACTCAAAGCCTTTTGTGTATGCTGTAAGGTGAGAATGCTTTCCCTCCTGTTAGGTAGAAACCTCTGATACTGAATCCACACATTCATTCTAACAGATTATTGGGGAATCAGATACATTTTTAATGTGTATATTTAAGTCTTGTTGTCATTTTTGAGTCAGTAGCTTCCTTATACCTTGATCCCTCCAGATCTGGAATCACCCAGATGTTCTTTATGAAGCACTGCAGAAGGAGAATCAGGCCAACGAGCAGGACCTGGACCTGGATGACATCACTTCATCTAGTAATCCTCGTTGCCCCGCACCTGGTGTTGGCCTCAAAGCCAAAGTAGCTGACTCAAGCAACAGCAAAGTTAACAACACCCTGCCACCACTCAATACTTCCCAAGATAAAGCTAATCAAGTCATTACATATGAATGGGTATGTCCTGCCAACAGTCCAGCTGCAATAAAAAAAAAGACAAAAAAAACAACCTTTCTAATGGATTTGTGTTTCAGGACATATTACTTGTGCCCATTAATCTACACTCAATAACCCATAATTGCAAAGTAAAAAAGAAAAGGGTTCTCCTTTACAAAAGTGTTGAGACCCTTCGCTGTGAAATTCCAAATTGTGGTCAAGTACCTTCTGTTTGCGTTCATTGTCTTGGAGATGTGTCTTTAAACCTGACTGGAGTCCACCTGTGGCAAAGTGAATAGTTTAGAAAGGTACACTCCTGTGTATAAGGTCTCACAATTTCACTGTCTCAGCAGCACTCCATCAATCAAGCCTTTATAGTAGAATGCTCCATGGAAGTGGGTAAAAGGCCTGCTTGTAGTTTTCCAAGGATACATGAAGAAAAAGATTCTCTGGACTGATTAAAAGTTGATCCAAATTGGTCCAGACTCATTAAGTGGTTCAGCCCAGTCCAGACTAAGGCTGTACTTGTACTAAGCAGTCCATAATGTCCCCAAGTACGTTTGACCCCCAAAGTCCAGTTAGTTTGACTTTTTGCAATTGATTGTACTGTACAATGCCCTGGCCCACGTGAAGAGGTGGACGTAGGCACAGTATGGATGGTGTGATTGCTAACTGTGCCTGAGCATGGAACTTGAACCCAATGTGCTAATACAAAAAGCTGCATTGCAGTGCCAAAAGCGTGCACTGGGACTGAGTGTTTTAAGTGCATTGTGAGTGCAGGCCAGCGGAGGAGGGATGAAGATCGTGCTCAGGCACAATACAAGTCACCCGTGCCTAGTTTGAGTAAATCCTTAAAACCCATAGAACTTTTGTGGAGAGACTTGAAGATGACAGTTCGCAGATGCTTCCCATCCACTTTGATGAACCTTGAGGGAATTTGCGAGGGAAAATGGGATGATCTCCCGTGAACCAGGTGTGCAAAGGTTCCTGAGACTTACCCAACAAGACTGGAAGCTGTAACTGCTGCCATTGGAGATTCTACAAAACACTTCTTCTCAGAATTTTTAATAAAAGTGCAAACATTTTCCATATTTCATTGTGAGTTAAGTGTAGATTAATGGGCAAAAATGGTAGTTTTATCCATTTAAAAGTAAATGTGCAAAACCTGAAGGGGTCCAAAAGCTTGCTTATTAAAGCTTTTACATCTCCAGATCCATAATCAGAACTTGCCACGCAAGACCTTTGGCACATTTTTTTCTGCTCAGGGCAAAATGAACAGAAAACAGCATCTGCCATTTGCCCCCACACAACTAACAGTGTACATTTGTTTTGCCTGGGGTTTGTTGTTTACAATGCCTTGATATATGACTGCAATTTTTTCATTTGTATGGTTCAGGCAAAGGACATAATGTCAAACTACCAAACAGGAGTTCTGGAGAACTCTGCTAAGATGGTTTTACTCTTCCATTTGATTGATGAGAGTGTGAGAAGAAGAAACAAGATTTTGGTCTTCAGGTAAGTCCTCCATCCAACATACTGTTTGTGGCATTAAACACAAGTCCACCATTAAGCAGCTTAGAGAAGAAGTAGGCTGACCTAATTAATCAGAATGTTTTCAGAGCTTTTAAGTAACCATGGGAAATTAATATTTTAATCTTCCTATGTCATATTAAGTTTCCTGCTTCTTTTTCAGATTACTTCTGTAAGCAGGAATTTCACAACTAAACAAGATTATGACCTTTAATGAAATAAAATGTATGTGCATACAGCGGATTGTTAAAACAAATATCTGGATGATTGATTGTAGCTCTTGAGTATACCAGTCTTCAGAATGTTGCAGTCACTTAATGTCTATTTTATTTCATAGCTGTTACTTGTTTCATACAGGAGACCACTTACTTTTCTTAACCCTTATTATTATTTTTTTTCTGTGTACATGCTAGTCAAAGCTTGTCCACCCTGACTGTCATTGAGGACTTCTTATCAAAGAGACCCATGCCAGCCCACTTTGCCTCCTCTGACACGCAGAGCCAAAACTGGGTGCGCAACGCCAATTACTTCAGTGAGTGATCCATTCTGTGCTCTCCTCCCAAACCAGCAACTCTGCAGAAAGTGATTCTTTCTTCTTTTTTTTTAATACTGAAACCTCAAAGTGCTGATTGTCTTTATTGATTTACTATCACTGGCTGCAATTTTTTAAGTTCTCCCATCTGATTATTTGTCTTGGCAAATTTACAATGTGCTCTGGATAGAAGCATGTTTAGGACCAATCTATCTACAATTTGATATGAAGTACTACTTCTAAATATAAATAAGGATGTTTTCAGATTAGGCACAATTGTTTAGTACTGTGCCCGAGCATGACTGCAGATACGCTTTCACATTAGCAACATTGTTCCATGCCCCAGCACACTTGCGTATGTACACAGTCTGATACAGTAGGTGGTAGTATCCACATAGTTGGTTTGCAGCCTGCCAAGAAGAAGAAGCAACCACTTGCATCATCAACTGGGCGACATTTGTTTCTGTTCCACACACATGTAAATACTGATGAACACTTCCTTAAATCTCAAAGTTTTTCTGTGTAGTATCCAGTTGTCTTTGTATGTTTTCATCGGCCCAAATTTCAAGCAAGCATTTTACTTCTTTGTTAATCCGCAGAGATCCTTTGCAGCTATGATTGGTAGTGTTTTACCACCCAGACCTACAAGAATTCAGTATAAATGCTCATGATTTAAAAATGTCCCAACTTTATCCCAGCTTAGGTATTAAAAAAAATATATGAACATAATACAATCTACTTCATTTTGCTGGAAGTCAAAGGGTGTTAGATGATGTATGTCTGCCTACAGGATTGGATGGGAGTACATCTGCCTCAGAGAGAGAGCGACTTATTAATCAGTTTAATGACCCAGAGAACAACACAACCTGGGTCTTCCTGCTTTCTACCAGGTACATGTTTCTGCTCTCTATGCTTTAAAAATGTGTCTCACTTCCTTCACACTTGTAGAAACATTGCCTTTCATTTTCCATGTTCCTTTCAGAGCGGGCTGCTTAGGTGTAAATTTAATTGGAGCCAACCGCGTTGTCGTGTTCGATGCCTCCTGGAACCCATGTCATGATGCCCAAGCAGTGTGTAGGGTGTACCGCTATGGTCAAAGGAAACCCTGCTATATTTACCGTCTTGTTTGTGATTACACCTTGGAGAAGAAGATCTATGACAGACAGGTCTCCAAACAGGTCATGTCTGGTATGAGATTTCTACATGTGAAGAAGAGCCATTAGTATTTCCAGTGAAATTTTTTTTTAACCAGATCTTAGTTTTCTAGTTACTAACATCTGCCTGAATTAATCCAGTCATAAAACCTTGTGTTTTTATGTGTTTAAAGACCGTGTGGTTGATGACCTGAACCCAGTGCTGAACTTTACTCGTAAGGAGGTGGAATCACTGCTGCACTTTGTAGAGGAGGAGCATGAAGCTCACAAAATTTCTATGGAATCCCAGCACAACTTTGAGGAAGTGATACATGAAGCCTGTGAGCTATATCCACACCTCATCACCAAGGTACAGGTGCATAATAGGTGATACTGATAATAGACTCTGGAAGGAAAGCAGTTTGGTTGTTTGATGTTTAGGGGTATGTGATAACTTAAACTGAATCTTGTGTGAGGGCCCATCGCTTGAAAGAATATGGACATGCCTAATTGGGAAGATGAAAACCACATAAATTCTAGTAATAGTTAAATTTCCTTGGCTTACCTTGTAATACTAAAGTCCTACCTGGAAAGACCTGAAGTCTGTATGTCTGGTTTATCAGAGATCAACTTGCCAATCGCATGAAAATTCCTGCAGTTGATCTGTAATTCAGTTTCCCTTTTTCCAATAGCAACCTTTCCATCATGAGTCTCTGCTGGTGGACAGGAAGGAGTTGAAACTGACCAAAGCAGAGAAAAGAGCTGCCAAGAAGAGCTATGAGGATGAGAAACGAGCCTCTGTGCCCTACTCGCGCCCATCCTATGCCCCCTATTACCCAACCAGTGATCAGACGCTCACAAACATAGCAGCATTTAACCAACGCGCCTGGTGAGTTTCTGATTATATGTTGTACTTTGTGTTGCTTTTGTTTAGTTGTTTGGGTGGCAGCTAATACCTTAGTTCTGTTTCTTACTAGCTCATATCCTCAGTTATAATTAGGTACATTCTAATCAGCTGGGTTTTCTTAATATTCTGTGGTGCAGTGGAATAAAGTTGTCCTCTTTTTACCTCTGCCCAGGGCAGGGGTTATGTTTTTGCCGGTCTTTATTTGGTTTGTTTGTTAACAGCATAACTCAAAAAGTAATGAACAGATTTGGATGAAATTGTTTGGAGAGGTAGGGTATGGCCAACGGAATAGTATATTAGATTTTGGTGCTGATCCATATCATAATTGGGACACACATATTTTTAAAGATTATTCACCATTGTGAGTGCTGCAAAGGCTGCTTGACTGTATGTGGGCCCCCTTGTGGCCAAAGCGTGCATCTATAGCACTGGCATTTTATTAAGTTGACTTTTTTTTCAGGTGACAAAGTAACCACTTAGACTGAGAACATGTGGTCAGTCTATCCAAGTAGTGCCAATTTAGAATTTGTTCTGATATTTTTGGAGTTGTGAGTACAGACGTATATACTATACAGTGGTGTGAAAAAGTATTTGCCCCCTTACTGATTTCTTATCTTTTTGCATGTTTGTCACACTGTAATGTTTCAGATCATCAAACAAATTTAAATATTAGTCAACGATAACACAAGTAAACACATCATGCAGTTTTTAAATGAAGGTTTTTATTATTAAGGGAAAACAAAATCCAAAACTATATAGCCCTGTGTGAACAAGTGTTTGCCCCCCTGTCAAAACACTGGTTTATCGCACCTGAGTTCAATTTCTCTAGCCACACCCAGGCCTGATTACTGCCACACCTGTTCGCAATCAAGAAATCACTTAAATAGGACCTGCCTGACAAAGTGAAGTAGACCAAAAGATCCTCAAAAGCTAGACATCATGCCGAGATCCAAAGAAATTCAAAACCAAATGAGAAAGAGAATAATTGAGCTCTATCAGTTTGGAAAAGGTTATAAAGCCATTTCTAAAGCTTTGGGACTGCAGCGAACCACAGTGAGAGCCATTATCCACAAATGGCGAAAACATGGAACAGTGGAGAACCTTCCCAGGAGTGGCCGGCCGACCAAAATTACCCCAAGAGCGCAGCGACAACTCATCCAAGAGGTCACAAAAGACCCCACAACAACATCCAAAGAACTGCAGGCCTCACTTGCCTCAGTTAAGGTGAGTGTTCATGACTCCACCATAAGAAAGAGACTGGGCAAAAATGGTTTGCATGGCAGAGTTCCAAGACGAAAACCACTGCTGAGCAAAAAGAACATAAAGGCTCGTCTCAGTTTTGCCAGAAAACATCTTGATGATCCCCAAGACTTTTGGGATAATACTCTGTGGACAGACGAGACAAAAGTTGAACTTTTTGGAAGGTGTGTGTCCCATTATGTGTGGCGTATATGTAACACCGCATTTCAGAAAAAGAACATCATACAAACAGTAAAATATTGGTGGTGGTAGTGTGATGGTCTGGGGCTGTTTTGCTGCTTCAGGCCCTGGAAGACTTGCTGTGATAAATGGAACCCTGAATTCTGCTGTGTACCAAAATATCCTGAAGGAGAATGTCCGGCCATCCGTTTGTGACCTCAAGCTGAAGCGAACTTGGGTTCTGCAGCAGGACAATGATCCAAAGCACACCAGCAAGTCCACTTCTGAATGGCTGAAGAAAAACAAAATGAAGACTTTGGAGTGGCCTAGTCAAAGTCCTGACCTGAATCCAATTGAGATGCTGTGGCATGACCTTAAAAAGGCAGTTCATGCCCGAAAACCTTCCAATGTGGCTGACTTACAACAATTCTGCCAAGATGAGTGGGCCAAAATTCCTCCACAGCGCTGTGGCAGACTCATGGCAAGTTATCGAAAACGCTTGATTGCAGTTGTTGCTGCTAAGGGTGGCCCAACCAGTTATTCGGTTTAGGGGGCAAACACTTATTCACACAGGGTTTTGTAGTTTTGGATTTTGTTTTCCCTTAATAATAAAAACCTTCATTTAAAAACTGCATGATGTGTTTACTTGTGTTATCTTTGACTAATATTTAAATTTGTTTGATGATCTGAAACATTACAGTGTGACAAACATGCAAAAAGATAAGAAATCAGTAAGGGGGCAAATACTTTTTCACACCACTGTATGTACATGTCTGTGTCTATGGTTGTGAGGGTTCTTTATCTGACCAAGCTAGCTCTATTAGCAGGCAGCTACATCTCGTTTGTAGCAGTCTGTCGACAAGAACGCTGGTGTTCCAACTGTGCATTTTAGCTGCATTTCCACTGTCAGAACCTAATGAGCGGTATGCCGCATGCTTCCCTTTACTGTCACCCGCCATAACCTCACAAGTTGATGCGGATCATCCTACTTTGCTTCACTGTATTTTTCTCTGTGTTGGCCTCAAGGAACTGAGGCTATATGAGGAGTTGATCAGGCAGTTGTTGTGAATGTCTATCATGTGTATCATTTTTCTTGAGTGCTTGCTCAAGGGGGATTTGTTGGGTTTTTCCTAGAATACTGTAAAGTCTAGACCTTACTGTGTCCTTGTTGTGAATTGGCACTATAGCATACAAACAAAATTGAATTGAATTTAAAAACTTTCAAACTAATAATGATATCCAAATGCCAGCAGTAGGTTTTTGTGATCATGCAATCATATATGAGGGTCAAGCTATCGTCGGAATATTGCTTTAATGGCATTATGAGGAAAGTGAATTGCCCTTGGTGCACTCTCTGAGTGTTGTATAGTTGTCTAATGAAATTCCAGCACACTAGACACTACTGCTAGAGGACTCTACAGTATGTGTATGGTCATCTCGTGAGTTCACTGCTCATATTTTTAGGCGGCCCATGGCACGGCCTGATGAAAAACCTGTGGCAAGTGTCAGGCCCATCCAGTCAACCCCAATCCCCATGTTGCCTCGCCATGTCAGCATGGGCATGGTTGGTTCCAGCTCTACTGGCAGCCTGCCTGTCAATAGCCTGGAGAAAGCTGGAGTCTACGTGCAGAGGATTGTCACCACAACAGGTAATGTGTAATATTTTGAATGTTTAAATCACTGAAAATACCAAACCAAATCTATGATTTATTTAACCAATCAATTAAATTTCAATGGAAGAAAAATAAATTATGTTCTGAATTGTAATGATCAGATATTAACATCAGACATGTTGTCTGGATCTACAGATATTGTTATCCCTGGAGCTAACAGCACAACAGATGTTCAAGCTCGAATTAGTGCAGGAGAGAGCGTCCATGTTATCAGAGGATCTAAGGGTAGCTGCAACAACATAATTACTCTCTGCATACAGAATATTTCCATAAACCCCTTCCATCACTTAAAATTTTCTCCAACACAGGTACTTACATCAGAACCAATGACGGCAGAATTTTTGCTATTCGATCTGGAAAGATCAGTAGACCAGCAGTCGGGGGCTCTGCTGCTTCAAGAGGTAGAAATTCAAATTTGTTCATTTCTAAATAGTTTTGCATTACACCCATCCAAGTAAGTCAAGCAACTTTGAGGATGGTGGTGTTATGTTGCTGCACCATCGTCTTTCAAGAATAGACTTTTCAAGAACAATGTTAGAGGCAGAGACAATGTACATGTTACCAACAATTTTGACTGCATTTCTCTGTCCCCTCCACAGGAACCCACGGTTCCCTGGTCTATCCAGTCAGTAATGGCTGTTCTTCTCCTGTGGATCAGCAGCAGCGCCCTAACAACGGGGAGCAGCGTTCTTCCCCTCCTTTAAGTTCTGAGATTATCAGAGAACTCAATCGCTACAGTTCATCTGCAAGTGATGCAGCCTCTGTCATGGGGAACGAATTGCCCTCACCCCAAGATGTGTCAGCTGTACCGGCAGGGGACAGAAGCAGTTCACGAAGCAATCAGACTAGTGGTCTCAGTAGGCAGCTTGGTGAAGACCTCCTGACCCCGGCATCAGAGATACGGGGCACCAAACGCAAGAGTACTGACAGCCAGGGCAACACACAGGCCGGAGGCAAACAGTCTTCTGCTTCAACACGTTTCCCTGGGCTGTCCATGGGCTCCACTGGACTCAGTTTTCCCTCTGTGGGTCTGAACTCTTCCTCCCTACTGGGTAACCTAGGACACATGAGTCACCCACTTCTCATGGGTGGCAGTGGTGGACCATCATTCCTTCAAACACCAGGACAAACACTGGCTGACCTACAGACCATGTTCTCCTCTGCAGGCTCAGACCTACTGAGACAGTCAGCCACAGGGAACGGGCACCTTCCCACCCCCTCCTCATCCTCATTGTCCACTGTTTTCTCCTCTGCTTCCACCACCATTCCTCTGTCATCTACAGCCTCAGCAGCAACTTCTGCCTCCCTAGCATCAGGTGCTATGCCTCCATTCTTAATGAACCCCAATGTGGCTAGCCTACTATCTTCAGGCTTCCCTCTCAGCTACAGCCAGTCACTGCTCTCTGAGCCTAGGATGTTCCCCCACTCTCTACTCACTGGGTCAGGGGGGTTACCAGCGCCTAACTCCAGCTCTACTACATCGAGCTTCCTCTCCCATTACAACAATCCCACCTCCAGCCTGTTAGGGGCAGCTCTGACCCAACCGGACAGACTTCAGAGTATGGAGAACAGCGGCAGTAGTTCTGACGATGACGTCATAGAGGTGACAGGACAGTAGAAACTCACTAGTTCTGCAGTTTAACAAGCAATCCTATTAATTATGGTTAATGAAGTACATTAGGGATGGGAATGATTTTACTTTTACATGATAAAATTAACCAAATTCATTCTGTTACAATATCTACCCTAAACCATAAATTGATGATTGCTGCTCTTATGTATTGTTACGTTCTGAATGTGCGAGCACAACAGAATGCAAGAAAGGTCAAGAGAAAGAAGTGACATTAGTGGCGTGAAAAAAAAACAAACAAACAAGTATAACTTTTCATGAGCTAAAAGTGTTAATGTTAATCCTGAACACATATAAAGAAGCTGGTGAAAGCTATGATGAAGTTATGCATGGTTTGGGTTCAGTCTTGTTGTTAGACTTAGCCTTTTGAGCAGTTCCCATTCACGGTGATCTTATTAAACCTCACAAATACACACAGACTCTCACCTGCAAATGAGAGGAAAAAACTTGTACCTTAATGATTTTACTAAGTCATTATAACAAATCCTAATGCTGAATATCCAAGACATGTTCAGCTGGATCAACAGAGCAGTGGAAACAGTTTGTCATACAGGGACCAGCTTTCGAAGCACACCCTCTCCTGCTACATGCGTTAACAAGACCTTGCTGTGCAGTTAGTTTTATTTCCTCTGAATTCAGATGGAATAATGTGATTAAACCTGCTTAATGTTGGATTTTCTCACGATATATTGCTGTGAAACAGTCAAGCGCATTTAAATTTGACTTGCACCTACACGTGGCAGCTGTATGCACATGCTGAACTCTGATTTACTCATTTTTCTTCAGCAGTTTTCTAATAAACAAACCTGGAAAGCTACAGACCACAATATATAAGTCATAGGAGCTAGAGAACATGGTATTAACATTTGTCAGAATCCGCTTGACAATATACTTGGAGAAAATCCTTCATGGCTTACCTTTAACAACAGAAACTCTAAGCATTAACAGCATATTTTAGCCATTAGCAATTTGATAGACCTTGTAGCATCCTCTGTTGAAGGGATATGTGTGATACTATAACTGAACATGTTGATACTTTGTAAATAACAGTCATTGTTTATATTGTAAGTCAGTACTGTGCAGTGTGTAGGTTTCAGTCATAGAAGATGGTTTATTATTACAGTGACTATCAAGATGATGAACACACCCTTGCATTAATGCTGGGGAAACAAGTTTATGTTCAACTGTAGATTTTTTTTAAACTCCAATGAATGTACTATCATGTTAGCTTTTGATAACACAGGGGCTGGGACATGGATTTGGACTGTGTTCATTCATTTTTAGCCTTAAATAAAACAAAGGGGTCTTCAGTCTTAACATTTATCTTGGTACATCCTTTTTTACAGGTATCTCGGAAGAACAACTAAGCATTTACACAGTCCATGTCAAATTCAAAACACAGCTTTAGGGCTTGTTCATGATGACTAAAAGCACGTAACAAGTGTGAAAGCCAAAAGGAGTGCAAACAAGATATGTTGCTAGTTCATCCGCAATAACTTTCCACCTCTTTTGTTTGTTTTACTGAAGTGTCCCCAACATCTGTTCATATATCTTCACTGTGTCAACCTACATACTGCGTGTAGTTTTAATAATGTCATAATTTCCTTGTGGCTCATTTTCAGAAACTCTAGAGGACAAATATTACCTAAACTACAGGAGCAATTGCATCTTGAGTGTATAAAACCTTAAGTCAGTGTCACCACCAGCCATCAAACCTGACATAAAACTCTTTGATTTTAACCAGCAGTGACTTTGGCAGAAGCAGGTCAGGCAGTGTGGTGGCCTTTCCAAACTGACTGCACCATCACATGGTAGCTTTTCTCCTAAATGCAGTGTAAGTAGCTTCTATCAGTAGTGTCAGTCAGTGTAGGTCTGCTGTGCTTTAGGAAGTTTAGGTCTTTGCTGTTCTCTGTAGCCTCATGTTTCTGTGTTGTGATGACACCCCAAGGTATTTAGATTTAGGAAAGTCAATTTACTCTATTGGTAAAATAGGCTCCATGCATTGGTGATTAGCCTTTAGAAGACACTGGATAACCTGAGACAACAGATACAGTAATTCCCTGTTACATTACATTTTTTAATGGTTTCCTGTGAGGACCTTCTTTCTCCTCAGACTGCTGTTCACTTCTTGTTTTATTTGCTACTGGCTCCTTTGTCATTCTGGATGCTTTGTTTGTCTTCAAGGATGCTGCAGTTTTCTTCTGTATGTCTTGGGAACTTAACATTTGGTTTGTTTCAGATTATAAAGTGAAGCTGGCACTTTGAAAAAGTATCATACCATCTTACAAACTGTACAAGGTACTGACCCCGTGTCCTTATTCTCAGTCTTCTCATTTGCTGGAACATTCAGATCTTGGTAATCATCCGTTTATAAAAAGTCCCTTTTCACCGTTTGTCAATTATGTGCATTTTTGTTTTATGGGACTGTTTCATTTAAAGGGTTTTTATAACTTCTTAGTGGGGTTCACTCACCTGGCAGTTGTTTCCCTTATTTCAGTGTAAGAAATGTATTTATTTATGATGGAAAATATATGTTTTGTAATTGCATTTTTTAATCTTTAGTTCATGCTGACCCATTGACAGCTGATCCAGTAAGAATTTCGTACATGCAGCCTAGATTGAAGCAGAATATGACTGTGTTATCAGTGTTATTTTAACAATAAAACACTTCTATTGTAGTGTGAATCCTTTACAGATGCCTTTAATTAAAGACATTTTCATGACATTTGATGTATTCAAACATGACTAAATCAGTAATCAATGGCAGCATTAATAGTCAAAAGGCAGGATAATAAGTGAGGTACAAGAATTCAACATGAAGAGAACCTATATTCAGGGATATGGCCAGTATTTTAGAAATACTGAGGTCACAGGTCCAAAGACTCAAAAGGTTTTTGACCAGCTACTGCATGTTCATGTTTTAACTTAATAATTTCATAATGTAAATTTTATCTACCCATATCTAAATGCTGTATCAAACTCTTCATAATGCTGTTTGTGGTCTCAGTAGATAATATTTAAAACTTAAGTTTAACTAATAAAATTAATTTTTCAGTTCTATTTTAAGCTGTTTAGTCTAACACAAGTTTACAGCAACGCTAGCAGAACACTGAGACTCTACTAAATGCTACTACGAGCACAGTGATGATACCAACATGATGTTTACCATGTTCCCCATTTTTATTTAGCCTGTTAGCATGCTAATTAGCGCTAAACCCAAAGTCTATCATAGGGCTGACGCTTAGCGACAGACAACCACACACACCCATACAAGCAATTTAGAGTTCCCAATCAATCTAAGCTGCATGTCTTCTTGCTGTGACGTGACAGCACTAACCACTACACTACAGGTGAAATGTAGCTGTCAAAGGAAAACTCCTTAGGTAAATAAACTGCACTTAAAGTTCCCCCAAAGAAAAGAGGACAACAGTAGTGTATATGTAAAAGGACAATGTATGGCAAAGTATTACATTATCCATATTTGCTGCTGGTGCTTCTTGGAATGACAAGTCCATCAGACAGGACGCTGTATGCACAGAGACCAGTTAATTTTTGACTTTTATACAACTTAATTGCACATAACTGAAAAAAAAAAATCTGTTAGGTTAAGTTTATACACGTGTCTGTGACAGTTTTGTCGAAGTGCTGATATCATGTCCTCGGTCAGGACTGCGACCTTTTCCTAGCCATGTAAGCATTTGTGATTTGGTTCATTATGACGAGGGTGCTGAGAGCAGGGCAGAGTACTACCAGGTACCAGGTGTATTCTCCGACAAAAGCAGTGAACCAGGTAGAGCAGAGGCCAAGGAGCAGGCTGGTGCTGCCAAGCAGGTAGGTGACAAGTCCAGATGCTGCGTGGTAACGTTTGAGTTTGGCCAGCGACCAGCCTTTGGCCAGAGAATGGTAGATGAGGGGCACAGCTGCCAAACACTGCAGCACAACTGCACACACTGTGATCAGGCCCAGCAGACCATGCCATGAGGTGAAGTGTGATTTGTCATTCAGGTGTTTGTTGTAAAAGATGGCTGCCAGACCCAGGACTCCACAGGACGCACAAAGGCACTGCAGGACCCAGTGAACGCGGCCTTTGGTCTTGTGTGGAAGCGTTTTGATGGGGGAGCCATGGGGGGAGAAGAGGAGTATGGCTTCTGTCATGAAGAAGAAGAACTGGAAAAGAAGAACATGAAGCACGTCAACTAATATACATTTTTTTTTTATTATTTGCTCATCTGTACCTTATTTTTTCATTTATTTGAGTGTTTGGCCTATAAAATGTCATAGAAATATATAGAATATGTTTAAAACAACCAAAGATTTTGAAGCCCAATTTAACATTTAAGGGACCAAGTGTGAAAACACCCTGCATATTTGAGAAAATAGTTTTCTTAAAATTTACTTAACTGGATGATCAATTGTCAGATTGAATTCATTTTCTGTTGATCAACAACTCCAAAGGTGCAACAATTATTTGATTAATGAATCGAAGTGGAAAGGAAGTTAATATAAATATAGTTCGTTTCAGTCATTTTCGAGCAAAAGTGGCAAACACTGTCTAGTGCAGCTCATAAAGAGTTTCTGCTTTTCTTTGTCATATGAGAAAAAAATGAAGATTGAAGAGTCTAATGTGGTTACAACTGAAAACATTTCTTTTCACACTTTAAACTTACAGCCAGTGTCATGAAGAACGGATGCCAGGAAAACCAACCTAAAATAAAAGAAATCAAGTTAACAAATGGCACGCTGGAGGACAGTGACATGGAAATGTCTGAATAACAGGAGCACTCACTTGTACCCGGTCGAGACAGAAGTGTAATGAGAACAGTGAAAGCAATGCAGATAAAGTGGGTCAGCACTGCGGAAGCTGCTCTGGCATAACGGTAGATCCCAGACTCGGATAAAGGCTCTTTGTTGTGAACCATGTTGAAGCCAAGTTGTTACGTGGACCCGGACAGTTAATCAGTAATCGACACACTCCAAGCTGCGAGGATTCGCAGTTTCGGCCAAACAGGAGTGGGTCTAACGGTGGATGAAGAGTGACCGATACCTCATCCTGCTGCATCAAAGAAGCCGTGGGTACTAGATAACTGTATCTTTGCTGACTATATCTGTTGCTATCAGTTCAACATACTACAAAATCATAGTACTGTACCCTGGCCGGCTACGTTGCAAAGAGCTGAACTCCTCCGCTCACAAAGAAAGCTTCCGGGTAAATTTTCAGAACTTGTTTTGCCAAACAACCACCGCTCCAAAATATACAACATGTGTGTTTGAAAGACAGAGATACTCGTCTCTGTTAGACATGTATTGTTAGGTCTAGGCTGGCAAAGGAAAAATAAAAGCACGTAACAAGTGTGAAAAGGAAGGAAAAATAATACGAAAAAGAAAGGAATTAATAATGAAAAAGACATTAGGGGCGCTGCTGGGAAAGGCATTGTGGGAGGTACGTTGTTTTCAAATCAACTACTAGAATCAACTATAAAAAATGAAAGAAAAAAGTCAGAGATGAGCCAGTTGAGTTAAATGTAGTATTTTCCTGTCAATCTACTGCGCTACATGCCACAGTCCAGTAGATGTCGGCAATGCGCTACTAAGTTGGTGCCCAACCGCAATGAAAACGCAAGGAAAAAGTGGGCGAAGAAGAAAAAGACGATATCCGCCGTATGGATGCGTCTCTCTGGCTGCCATATTGCAGCGGTTCTGAGCAGTTTAAATACTATAAAATGCCAGATTTTTGTGCTGCTTTTGGATGTAGTAATGAAAGAAACACCAAAACCAAGGAGCAGGGAATAACATTTCACAGGTTAGAAATGATCTTACAGTGTTTTATTGTCATGAACGTGTTGAATTTTATATAAATAATCATCCTAAGCTAAGAAAGTCCTTGTTGAAGCTAAGTTAAGCTAACTATCAGTTGAAGAAACAAAAGGTGTAGATGAGCAGTAAATTAATGTACTGATAAATTATACACCGACGTCATTGAACGTGTTATTGTTTTAAGTAATGCTAAATTATCCACTTTAACTTGTTTGTTTACAACTGTGTCACGGTGCTAACATGACAGAAATTTAGTGTTTTTTTTTTCCTGATGGACTTGTTTTAGGTTCCCAAAAGATCACGTCAAAAGACAGACGTGGACATTAGCACTGAGGAGAAGGGACTTCGTGCCCAATGACCGCTCCGTTGTCTGCAGCAGTCATTTCAAGGCAGAAGACTTTGACAGAACTGGACAGACTACTCGTTTAAGGGAAGGAGTTGTCCCCTCAGTTTTTGTATTCTCAGACCAACTTTACAAAGTAGGTGCCACTGGGAAATTGTTTCTAAATAATAACAATTTTTCATAGACTATTAATGTCTCACTAACATTTTTGATGCTCTTTAACCCTAACAAAAATTAAGTCTTATAATTTGTAGATATTATCTTAAATAACCATTAAATTCCTCTTCAGGTGCCTAGTACGCCCAGGCTAAGCAAGACCTCACAAAAAGCTGCTTCAGAGTGTCCAGATGTTCATGTTCAGCCATCAGAGGACCTTCAGCAGTCAGCCTCAGTGAGTGACACAACTGTTGTACTGATTGTAACGTATAAAATTAGTAGAATCATTTAAGTTTGACCCTACCCTTTTTTCAGGATCATCAATATGCCCTTGACCCAGTTAAAGTAAAAAAGAAGTTAACAGAGGCTCAGGAAATGGTGGAGGAGTTGCAACGGGACTTAAGAAATGCCAAGGATCGGGAAAGAAGACATAAGAGGACAATGAAATCCCTGATAGAGGATTTAAAGCGCCGAAATATGCTGACAGAGGAGCTGCAGCAGAAGCTTGACTTCTATTCTGGTTGGTTGAACAGTCCCCTCCTTTTAAAAACATTAAGTATGTGTAACATATAATTTTGTAGCGTTTGTTGTATTATCACACAACATTAAATTGCAGTCTCACAAGAGTTGTTAAATGTTTACTGAAAAATAAGTTGATCAAATTTGACTGTGACATTCCTTTAATTCAGTATTCTAGTTTCTCAAAATCTAATTTTCTGTAACATTTCAGTACTGTAATAATAAAGGAAGGAACATGTTGCAGGCATAGAGTTCCATCATCAGTCCTGCCCAAATGGTGACGTGGAGCTACATGCACAGGCTAGAAGATGCACAAAAAGAAGATCTGACTGCTGCCAACAGGATCACAAGAAAGCACATAATCTTCAGCTCTCAGAAAATGAAGGTACCCCAGGCAGCACAGACATTAAATCAGTCTGTGGGAAAGACTCTGTACATGCTTGAGGATTTCTGGATATCATCAGTTCAGATTGCTCTCCGAATTTATTCTGAAGTGAAGTGTATTAAAGTTTTACTTTCCAATATTGTGTAAATGTATTATACAGTGTAAGGAAATAGGGCTGCAACAGTTTGTTGATTTATCGCTTAGTCGATCAACAGAAAATTAATTGGCAACAATTGTTATTAATTGAGTATAAGCAGAAACTAAGCATTTTCTGTTCCCTGCTTCTCAAAATGTGAGAATGTTTTTTAAGTTTATATCATCACTATAAGACTGAATGGTCTGTAAACTGATTTTTTTTTTCCTGACATTTTAGGCTACGAGATTCAGTTTGTTATTAAAATAAACAATAGATTGATCAGTAATGAAAAGAACTGATAGATGCAGCCCTATGAGAAACTCTACCAAACTGTTTTTAGTCTATTATAAACACGATATTTCTATGTAAATTGTTTGGCAATGAATAGACATGTTAGTTGTGTTTCATTGTGTGTATAATGTCATTGTTCACCAGCTTTAAAGCATTTTTTTTTTAACTGAACTAAGTTGTTTTATGTCAAAAAACAACAGAGACCCTTATGCCAGAGGCTTTAAGGTACCCCCACCCTCTTTATGTCTGTTTGTGTATCCCGCCACGTCTTACATGAACTGCCACTGTTTAAAGTGTGTTTAGTTTTTTCCTAGAAGAGTGAGACTGGACTCGGTTGTGACCTGTAATAGACGAGGTTAATCACAATTGTCCAGATAGTAGCACTAAAACATCCGAGTCGGACATCTTTAAAAGGAGCCCAGTGTTGTAATGCAAATAAGTACATTTACTCAAGTACTGTAGCCTACTGTACACATTTTAGGTACTCAAGTATTTCTATTTTGATCTAATTAATTCTTCTATCAACTACATTTCAGAAGGTTTCTTGTTTTTTTTGTTTGGTACATTCATCTGACTGTTGTAGTCTATGTTTCTAGATTTTTTTCATTACTGCAGTCTAAATGAGAGGTTAGCCCACATATACATTATTCCATAAATCAGCAACTTTTGGAGCTAAAACCCAAAAGAGGAAAATTAGTAGGCTACTACTAGGTAATAATGGAAAAATTGTAATGATAAACATTAAATAAATTTAGTGCATGCAACTTTAGTTTAGTGCATGTTTTCCAACTACCCATGCCCTACCCACTGCTGAATACCTGGATCATGTTTATTCAATCAGAAGATGGAAAATACCATCTTAGATGAAGGTGGAGCTAGGACAGACAAAGTGAATTTAGGTTGGAGGATGGACAAGTAAATGTACAATTAATACTCTTAAATGAACATTAAAACCGCCTCCTAATGAAACTGCTAAGCTGTGAAATGCATGTTAATATCTTTATCGACTATTTACTAGTGTTAGTTGCCAAGAGACATTTAAGTTATTTAATGCTTATTGTTGAATTATGTTGAATGATTAAGAAATGCATTAGTTACCTATTAGTTAATACGTATTACTGTATTAAGTACTGTTTATTACCCTGATTGTAAAGTGTTACCCTTGCAACTCCACAAACCTAGATATTCCTTCCCTGCCTCTGAGGCCTTCTTCTCTCTACAAAGCCCTAAAGGCTGAATGAACACTGAAGAAACGAGCACTCCATGGTACTGCAACATGCACATTTGGCTTGAGACAATACAGTATAAAAACAGCCCTTTATCTGCCATCCATATTTGAGCTTGGAGGCTTTTTTTGGGGGGGGAGTGATTTCCAAATGGCCCCTAATCAAATATTAAACACTCTATTCATTCCAAACAGTCTGTTCATTCCAAACAGTCATTTAAGTACAGAGATCAACAATATCATTTTACACACATTCTGTCTTTCTATTTGGCAACCAGGTGAAACATAGCTACTATAAAGCAATTGCTTATTAAAATAATACTTTCACCTTTGGTCAAAATACATACATTATTAATATTAGTATATATAGTTAACTTTTTTATTAGTTGTTCATTGGTAATTCGTTATAGATGAGTAAATGTTTAGTTGCCAGTTTATGGAAAATACCCTGGACCGTCTTTTTCCTATTTTGTAATAACATAGTTCTAAATATTTGCATTAATAAGTATTAGCCCTAAAGTCTATGTTAATAAACTACTCATTGCCACTTTATTTTTTTAATCAAGGACGAAGATAAAATACTTCACAACCTGGCAACCTTGAATCTGTTATGATTAGCCTACTGTTTTATTAATGCTCTACAAAGCAGTAGGACATGATTCATTGAGCCTTAACAAAGCTGCCCAAACCTACGATCTCTGGTCTTAAAGAAGTGGCCCCTCCTTTCTGAAAACACCTCATGACTTCACGTTTTCCTATGTGTGAAAACAGTTACTCCTCCTGTGCTGCCTCTCGGGAGGTTTAACACACTTTGGGGATTAGTCGGTAATCCCACACCCAAAGTGTGCATGCGCAAACTAAAGTGCGCGCGTCGGGTGAGGGACCGATCGTTACGAATTCAACAACAAACTGCGATCGCTGTTCACGTTTCCTTTCCGATAAGTGGCGCTGATGGATTACACGAGGTAAGGTAATTGTTTAACTGCGTGTTTGTCAGCAAATGCAAAGATTTTGTTCGGTGTCACTGTGACAGCTGAGTTAGTATTTCCGTTTCAGACTGCAGGATTAAACCGGGCTGTCCCGTCACTGCTTTCTGCAACAAACGAGGAGCAATAGCCTCGTCTAAAGTTGTGTCGTAGAGACCAAACCTCTAGTTTTATATTAAAATAACCTCATATGACAACACCAGAAAAAAATGCATGGCTGATCAAAGTGCTCTTGTCTTGTGTGAATAACTGCGCCGTGTGGTGACCCACTTGGCAGAAAGCATCCCGGGTTGTTCATAGTCAAGTCATGCAGCTGCACAGGGAAACAAATGAAACTTAAGTTTTAGACGCACCTGTGAACATTTTCCACTTATTCTTTTTCCTCCTGTCTCGCCAGAGAAATGTATTCAGTTCAAGTTTTGTTGGCATACTCAGTGTGCAATGAATAGCAGAGCATATAACACCTGTCATACTGTATTCTATTGGTTATTATAGATAAGTAAACAACAACAGCCGCATATGATACTACACAGCAGTGTGCAACCTAGAGCAATGCTTCATGATATTTTGTTTCTTGTCTATAATCACAATCTGTTAAATTACTAGAGAATAACAAAGGGAGGAAAACTATATTTGTTTTGGAAACATAGTGGAGAATAAGTAAAAAGTAACATAAATAGCAGAGAAATACTAAAGTAGCCTAATGACTTGTGCAGGCCATGAGTAAATGTGCCTCTCTTTTATTTTGTTCTTGTTTAATTTTATGACATTCCACCACTATACGTACATGCAACATTTGTAGCTGTCATGAATAGCCCACTGTTCTTGTGTTGAAAATTTGAAATCAAGCCTCAGGACATTTCCAATATGTCACCAGTTATTTCTGAAATGACTGATTTATGGTAAAGTACATAGTTTGTCAGGAACACAAAACCATATGAGCTGTTGCATGATTGCAAAGAGTAATACTCATCTTGTCCCACATTTTAACATAATCATATGATTCCTGGCATCAGATAACAAAAGTTAATCTTTTGCTTTTCGGTGTGTAAAGCACAACATCAGTGTTGATTTTATGATTTTTTTTTTTTTTTGCTTGAAAGTCAGATTGTTTTGTATTAATAACGCCCATGTTTGCCCACATATGAAGAGTGCATTGTACAACTGTCTTGCAGCTCATGAAGACTTGGTGGCCACTTTTTCTTCTGTACAACACACCAATGTGGAAGTGGACTGAATCAAACTGACCTGGTGATTTGTTTTAACATGTGCACATTTCTTCCGAGCCTGACATTCACAAAATCCTCATTAAGGATGTGAAAGTGCACATATTAATGTTGTTTCCCCTCAGGGATGGTTGTTCACTTGACATGTCAGTGTCTGCATCAAAGACAAGATGTATAAGTGTGAGTTGATTGAGCTGAAGGACCTCACTGTGAACGATCCCATCGAGCTCACCGCTCCTACGGCCCACACGGCCCTGGCACCTGTAAACCCAGGTCAGCCCAGCCCCTTCTATGTTGTCCGTCTGGTTGGAGACAGCACCAAAGCGCCCGGCTGTCAGACAGGAGAGGCTGGAGCAGGTCATGACTTCCAGCCCTACACTCACACTCATCTCACTTGGTGTGACCTGTGTGGGGAATTCATCTGGGGTCTTTATAAGCAGAGTTTGCGCTGCACCAGTGAGTAACTTCAGCTTATATGAATGTGTAAGAAATTGTTAAAAGGACAGGTTTGGTGATATTCTATATTTTTGTATTGTCAACATATCCCATGAAAAGACAAACCACCACTGAACTGCTACTATTCACAAGCATGTGCAAAGCCTACATATGTTATTTATGTGTGTCACTGGGCTCCATTGTTACCGAAAAAATGTTAGGAACGCTCTGGTAGGGACGTGAGCGAGTAAAAAAATGACGGACCCAGGTAGCTGACTTCGGTGCAAGAAGTGCTCTATTTATTTACAGTGATGATAAATATGTGTACAACCAGGTGAAGGAATACGGAGCAGAACCGGGTGTCGAGCGGCAGTCCTGGAAAACATACAGTCAGTGATGTGATGAGATGATAAGGAGGAGGCCGGGCTGCGGATGCTAGGATTCACTCCTGGACTGGTCATGATGGTTGGTTGCTGAGGGACAAAGTCAGAGAAACAGCTAATGCGAGACTGTGCATCGACCTGCGTCGTGGAGTGATGTGGAGTTGAGGAGGTCTGTGGTCCAGGGAGTGGAGTATAAATAGGGAGGAGATAGACAAGGCACAGCTGGGGATAATCAGGAAAGCGGGGCAGGTGAAATGGATAGAGCAATCAGAGTGAGGACGCAAACTAGCGTGAGGAAAGGAGGAGAGGAAGGTGCAGCCGGGCAAACCTGACAGGACCCCTCCCCAAAGGATGGATCCCAGACAGCCAAACCACCATCCCAGGGAGGGAGGGGGGGGCCACCGGAAGGAGGGACTCACCGGGGCCCCCCAGGTTTGTCCGGGTGTGCTTGATAGAAGGAGGTGAGAAGGGCAGGCTCTAAAATAAAGGAGCAGAGAATCCAGGACCGCTCCTCCGGACCATAACCCTCCCAGTCTACCGGATATTGGAAACCCTAGCCCCTAGGGTGGACATCCAGGATCTGCCTGACGGTGTATGCAGGGCCACCGTCCACTCCAGGGCAGGAGGAGGTGGAGCCGGTGGTGGACAGAGGGGACTGGAGGAGACTGGTTTGACCTGGGAATCATGAAAAACTGGGTGAACACGGCGTTGCAGTGGGATGTATAATTTCCTGGATGGTGAAGGGCCCTAGGAACCGAGGTGATA